TTTGGGTTGGATTCTTTTGGTCATTTGCAAGTAAGTGCACTTATGGGCAAAAATGCATATTTATGCATGAAACACAGTAATACAGATTTTAGACAATAAATTAGTTTGCTTAAGAGAACTAAAAATTTTCCATATTATTGCTTTTGTAATTGAGCCTATTTTAGCCTTGGCATTCAAATTAGCCAATAGACCTAGGCAAATAAAAATACTAATAAATGTAAGGATACAATAGAACATTAATACTAATTAATGTTAGACTGTATTACATATTTCCACAATACAGGTAAATCTGAACACTTTCTAAGCCAGTGAAAAGAGTTTGTTTTGGATCAGGATTTTTAAAATTCAAGAGGATTTGATAATAATCAGTGGTAATTAAAAAAAATAGGATAAATGTTCTGTGTTCTATATAGGAGGCAAATATTTGCTTTATCTGTCCACTCCACTTCTCCTCCACCCTCTGCCATCTTGATACTTAAGGATGACTTCATCTAAATAATGATGATTTGATTTACTGTTACCGGATATTCAGGTTTCCATGTAAGAAACTAGTGAGAATATAAACATCAATGGAACCTAACATTTCTCCTGGCACCCGCCTTGCTTTGACAAGAGCCATGCACTATTACAGGGCCATTACTCATAGAGACTCGAGGGGAGGGGTGGCCCTGGAGTTTGTCTGGTGCACAAACTGTACCACCACCATATGAGGCATCTCTGATTGTACAAAGGAGTCCCTAAACATGGGTCATTCCAGAAAAATCGGACACCTATACTTGCCATTCTGAAGTTTTCTACTTAAAGCGCGTATTTCACTCTCATTAGGAACACTTAGCACAATACTATAAAACAAACTTCCCACCTTGACCAAAAAAAAAAAAATTAGAAGCAAATCCATGCAGTGTATTTCTTTAGGACGGGGTGGATTGCTTTCCTAAAAGCCAACCTCCCCTCTTCATATTTGCTAAGAGAAACTCCCCCGTCCCCCACTCCTCAATTTATTCAGATATTGTGTAGCCATGTGGTTAGGAGATGTGTTTCTGTTCAGACGGTGAAACCGGATAAGGGTATTTCATTGCCCTTTGCATCTTTAGTTTAGGAAAGGAAGGGGATTAGGGTAATTCTGGCCTATGGCCTGGGGGGGGAAGTCTTGGTGGGAGGGTGTCTTTGTGGTAAGGAAGAAAATAAGGAAAGGAGGCTCTCTTCCCTCCTTGCAATTTTTGGAAGTTATCTGTGATACTTGGAGCCACTGCAGCCATCTTGAGACTTAACTCGTATGTGTGTGTATGTCTCTCTATAGATTAAATAGAAGGAGCTCAAAGAAACCTTGGATAGAATCAATATAACTTTCTCCTTTATTTTTTAAAACCAGGTTCCATGTTGTTTGGCTTATTATTATTCTCCAAAGGAAATCAAAATGATTAAGCTAACCATTAGGATTGGGAAGCAGTGATAAGCATGAATAAAATCTGATTATTTGGTTAGGTGCCATTTAGAGATAGACGCTGGTAATATGGTTCCTTTAATATGTAGTTATTTCCAAAATAATATCCTACCTGAATTAATTCACTGGGGTGGACAGCTTATTTCTAGAGTATTTTAAAAACTGAAACTAAGCTTACGAAGGTGGGTGAATTTGATACAGAATTTTAAACGTGATTAGCAATGCTTTTAGCCTTGTCACAAATATTACTACTGAGCACAAACTAAAATAATAATTTGAGTGTTTGCTTATATGCCATACCATATGTTACATGCTTGCTTGACTCATGTAGCTCCATTCAGTTCTCACAATAACTCAGTTGATGAGCACTTATCATACCCATTTCATGGTTGAGGAAACCGAGGTTAGGTAAAGTTAAATAGTTTACTCGTGATTATAGAGCTAGTAAGTAGAAAAACTGGGATTTGTAGTCTGACTCAAGAGCCCAAGCTCCTAATCACTGCAGTTTTCTGCCCAAGAATCAATATAATTTATTCTTGGTTGAGGGATATGACAGACACTGTTGGGTGCCTACTTAACCACCATTTTCCCTTTCTCCTCTCAAACAGACCCCTTGTTTTGTTTGGGAGTGACTCATGATCAATTTAATGAACTATGGCAATCACATTTTCTTTTGTTAGTGACTGGCCTGCAGTGGGCATGTTGACCATTATCTGGCCACTAAGGGAGATTCTACTGGGGGAGGGCAGTCTAGAAAAGATTTTTCTCCTTCATAAAAAGGAACGGTGCACTGCCTTTCCCAAACCCTTCCTGCTTGTACACTGACCTCTGAGGATGTGAGGTCTGGAGCTATGGCATCCACATTGCAATCAGGAGGTGACAAGCCTGAAGACAAAAGCCAGTTGGCATATGATAGTAGAGAGCAAATATAAAAAGGGCTTGGGTCCTTAATGACATGACTGTGCTGCTGAACTAACCCTAAGCCTACTTACATCTGAACTTCATGTTAAAGATGTAATAAATGACCACTGCTTTAAACTACTACTAATCAGATATTCTTTTCCTTGTGGCCAAAGGTGTCCTAATGGATACAATATGGCCAGGGAAAGATGTTTTCTCATATTTGCTGCAAAAATAGATGATATGGAGGTTATCAAGATTTCATCCAGGAATCTGCTGGTGTAGGTAGTAGTTCAGGAAAAAAAAAAAAAAAGTCCAAAACAAAACCCTTTAGCTTTGTCTCAGATCTGGGTAATCCACATAACCCTGTTGAATATTCCCCTCTCCCCCTTTTTTTTTCCTCCCCAGATGCACTGTTTCCTCTTCTGTGTGTGATTGACTGATAGGAACTGCATCAAAAGGCTCTCTTGCCCTCTGGCTTCGGTTGGATTTGGCCATTAGGATGCCCCAGCAAGAGACTGGAGGAGGGAGGTGAGTGAGATGTAAATCTCCTAGCTTCCTCCTTGGGTGATTACATCCCTTGATGAAAGGTCACAGGTGCTTGTCAGGCGGCCCTTTCTGTGCTGAGTTTTTGTAACTGTTCCTTTCCCCTTTGCTGCTACAGATCTAGGAGCCAGTAGCCGCAGGATCCCACACTTCCTTTGTGGTTTCCTACACCCTGCCCACATCTTTGTAAAGTACCATTTGTTTCCTGCTAGGCCCTGACTGATACAATAGTGTGAAGAAAATCACTGCAGTGGTGGAAGCACTGCCCGGTCCATCTGAGATGTGGGGAGGTTCTGTGGAGTTATTCATGGTTTAAATAAGGGTTTTCTCCAATCATGAAAGGGAGGCAGGAGACTACATAAGTATCTCCTGCACAAAACTGAAACAAAGTATCATACTCAGAGAAAACATTTTCTACCTGAGGACAAGAAATCAAAAAAGGCTATCTGAAAGAGACAGCATTTGGGTTCAGAATGGATAGGATTTTTAAGACAGAGACAGGGAAGAGTGTGAGTCAAGCCAGGGAAGAGAGAAAACGCAAGAATAGTTTCTGAAAAATTAGTGCTGGAGGGACCTAAGATGTCCGTTATTTAATGTTAGTTCTCCCTCCACCTCCTTTACAGGTATGTAAACTTGAAGCTGAGATTTGGCCAAGGTCAAACAGCAAGTGAGTAGTAGCATGCCAGGACTCCAAGCCAGGTCTGCTAGAAACTAGGCTAGTTCCTAACCCACCTTCTGTCCCCACCCTACCCTACCTCACCTCAGGCAGTCTGCTTACTTGTCAGTCTCTCTCACTAGATTGTGACCTCCTTGAGAGCAGAGCCTCTGTTTTCTCCATCCTTGAACCCCAGTACCTACCACAATTTCTGACATAATGTCATCATCATCAGCAGCTACCAAATGGTAACCATTCGCTCCCCGCCAAGCACTGTGCAGATATATGTACCGCATGTCATCTTCCCGATAACTTGGAGGGACAGAGTCATCTCCACTTTTCAGCTAAGGCTGCTGCGGCTCCGAGAGGTGGTCTAATTTGCCTGAGGTCACACAGGATTGTGCAGTATTCTATTTTACCTTCTATCAAACGGACTGTGGAGTCCCAGCCTCAATAACATTTGTTGAATGAATGCACGAACAAGACTCAGTGTAAGTGGTTCACTGTAACAGGTCACCCTGGAGGCCCTGCCACCTCCGACTGGGGACTCAGCAAGTAGTCTCAGGTCTAAAGTACACGGTTCCTCTCGGTGTCATCCCCAGGCTCCGCCCCTGACTCCTCTGCCCGGCTAGCCAGCCACGCCTCCACCTGGGGGAGTTTGGTCGCTCTCCCGTATCTGAGTTTTCTCTCCGCTCCAGCTGCTGCTGGAGGGCCTCTTTCGGCCCTGAGATCTGGAGCGGGTTCCACTCCCCCGCCCCTCCCCTCGCCCTCCCTCACTCTGCAAACTTCTTTTTTCCACCCTCTTTAAACTTCAGTCATCTTAGTGCCCGCCTCCTCCACTCCAACCAACCAGTCAGTGGTTTTCATTCTCGGCGAGGGTCCATCCCCAGCCTGCCGGGGGCCAATCCCCCGCGCGAAAGTCGAGGGCTGGGGCTGGTTCCCAAGCGCCTGGCCTGTGACGGCAGCGCGCCGGGCGCCGCGCGGCGGGAGGGGGCGGGGCTGTGGGTGAGGGATGGGCGAGGGCGGGGGGAAGGGAAAGAGGGAGGAGGAGGCTGCGGCGGGTTTGAAAGCGGCAGTTTCCTGGCAGCTGGGGCAGGCGTTGGTCTCCGTGCTCCAGCTTCGCAGCGGCCACGATCGATCCAGCCACGGGTCTACGCTTGCTTCTGCGCGCCCCCGACGGATTTTTCCCAGCCCGGCTCTCCCCACCTCACCTCCCCCCGCCCCCCGGCTCAGCCTTTCCCGCCGCTTGGGCGCGGAGCCCGGGGACCAGCGGGCTGCTGTGACCCCGCCCGAAACCCCTCCGGGGCTGCCCCAGAGACAATTTCCTTCTCCTTTCTGTAGTCTAACCCGGGGTGGCTCTCGCAGAGCCCGGCCAGTCCCGGGAAGCGCAGCCGGGAGGGGCATCCGAGGGGTGTCTCGGGGCGTGGAGTGGCCCGGCCCCCAGTGGGCTGTGGTCGGGGGGTGCCGTAGCGGCGAGGCCCCCCTCGCCGGGCTGCGCGGGCCGCCTGGGGCCCCGCCGCCGGCGCGGGGTCTCCCCCATGGTGCAGCGGGGTTCGGGATGTCGAAGACGCTGAAGAAGAAGAAGCACTGGCTCAGCAAGGTGCAGGAGTGCGCGGTGTCCTGGGCCGGGCCCCCGGGCGACTTGGGCGCCGAGATCCGGGGCGGCGCGGAGCGCGGCGAGTTCCCCTACCTGGGGCGGCTCCGCGAGGAGCCGGGCGGGGGCACCTGCTGCATCGTCTCGGGCAAAGCGCCCAGCCCCGGGGATGTGCTGCTGGAGGTGAACGGGACGCCTGTCAGCGGGCTCACCCACCGGGACACCCTGGCTGTCATCCGCCACTTCCGCGAGCCCATCCGTCTCAAGACTGTGAAGCCAGGTACACCGGCCCTGCCTTTCTGTTGCAGGGGTTTGGGGGGAAGTCCGGGTGGGTGTCCTGGGAGCCGCGGCCCCTCCCCACCGTTTATCGTCCGGGGTAATCTTAGACCTCTAGGGTGTGCCGGACTCTGGCGAGGGGGAGGGGTGGCATTAGTGATTCCCATTTTGCCATTGGGAAAACTGAGCTCTGGCTTGGCAGGGAGCTGTCACAGAATTGCGACCAGAAGCTGGGTTGACTGAATTTGTAGCTCTATCTCCCACCGCAGAGTTTTCGACTCGAGAGAAAACCAACCCGCTTCTGCTTTCCTTCGCGGATAAGGTCCTCATGATTGTAACATTGTCTTCGGAACAATCTTAACGCGTTTTCTAACACGGAAAGAGGTCTGTCTTTACTAGTGAGGCACTTGGTGCCAAGGTTACCACCTAGTGTACCTGGAAGGGCTTAGCTGCTTCAGCGTTTCTTGCACACTAGCAGCAGCACCTTGGAGCTGACAGCGCCTGTCTGCCAGCCCAGGTGGTTCAGGTGTCTGGGTACTGATGGTGTACAATATGCGACGCGTGGTCGAGTGGTGTGTTCCTGCAGGGAGCTGTTGAATAGTCTGGGTTTCGAAGGGAAGACCTAGGTGATTCGCTGACTAAAACCTTTTTGTAAATCTCTGATTTTTACAGAAATTTGTTGATGTGGGTAAAAGGGTCCCGGTTGCCCTGGTGTCTCGTATGCTAGTAAAATCTGCTGCAAAGCACGTTTCGCTTATGGCATTCTTGCCAGTTTCAAAGCATTGATCAGGCTGAACAGTGAAATCTGAGAGTATGTAATACACTTGACGTATTTGTAATCGACAACAATGTTGGTCGGTTCCAGCGTTTCAGCCTTGGTAGAATGTGGTTCTGTTTTCTGAGATGTTGGTAGGAGAGAGAATTATGACTACAGTGTTATTAGAAATCAAACTATTTTTGCTGAAGCATCAAAATATAATGGACTGCTTAATTGTGATGGGCTTGAAAAATCAATCCATGCCTTCACTGCAAAATGCTAGAAAATTCTGGAGAAAAATTTAACATGTTATCTCCCTCACTTTTTTTCCTCTTTCTTTCTCAGCAGCTCACTTTGGAAATACCTCTTTAATAATCCTTTGGGCTTAATAAGGACTGATGGTTTGTGATGCAATGTACCTATGTGTGTGTATTGTGTGTGTGTGTGTGTGTGTGTTGTGTGTGTATAGACACACACACAACACACACACGCGCGTGTTTCTGCAATCTCATATGGTCTATTCCATCATATTCATTTTAAGCTTATGGGTTTATGTGAGGTTTTCTTTTTGTTGTTAGTTGAAAAAAAAACTTTGGCAGACTTTGAACATCTTTTTCTGTGTAGTTTTGTGAATTCAAAAATTCTTAACTCAAAGTTTTAGAGCCATATGTGAAGGTTGGAGGAAAGACTTTGGAACTGTAATTCAGCCAGTCGCCTGAATTATATGCTGTCTGTAAAATGCAAAATCACACACACACACACACACACACACACACACACACACACACACACACACACACAAACCCTAAATGGTCTAGGTGCCATTTAGTTCAAATTTCATGAGTCAACGAATAATGAGAACATCTGCATAATTGCTTTGTGTTTTGTTTAGGTTAGTTGGGGCATAGATGACTGTATTTTCAAAAATCGTTCAAAAGTTGATTGAGGAGGAAGTTGATAGAAGATTGGGGAGATGTATCTTTAATATTGGTCTGATCTGCATGTTATACATTTTCTCAACCTTTATACCAAATTTAAGAAAATAATTCAAATTTAGAGTGTATTTACTACTAACATTGATTGTGTTGAATAAACATCAGATGCCCCAGAATGGAGTCGATATTTTTATAGTAATAAAATAAAAACCCTCTTGACAACCGTGTTGTTAAATGTTTAGCCAAAATAAAGGGAATAATTTATATTAATAGGTGTAGCATGTTTTGTAATCATTAATAATAAAGTTAAATACTACACTTTTTAAAGATACATTCTGCTCTATGACTTCTAAAGGATACCACAATGTGTCATCCGAGATTAATATTCTTGTTTCTAAGCACGTTGTAGTTAAAAAATTTTAATTTCTTAAAAATAGTATTCTTAATTTCTTAATAGCCTCATGTTAGGCATCATGTTAAATGGCTTTCTTAAATGGCTTTGCTTAAACAACATTTTTTATAAAATAGCAAGATTTTTGCAGGTTAAGCACATGCCTTTAAATATTAGAAATTAAGGACTTGAAGAGGTTATTCATAGAACTTTGAGTGTGATTAAAAACTGCATAAATATTATCTCCAGAGAAGATAAAGATTCTATACTGTTGGGATTCAATTAAAAAAGTATGAAAATACAGGATAGGCGTTTTCAGAAAGGAACTTGCTCTGCACATTGGTTTTTTTTCCCTTTTGTCTAAACTTTGTGAGCAAAATAGATGTTTCAGTTTAATAAGGTATTATAAAGTGTACTTAGCACTCTGTCTCTTGTCTTGATTGATAACTCTTTATTAAATTATATTCATAACATGTTACTTAGAAAGTAGGACAATGCAAGAGTAAATGTAACCATTTCTGTAAGATGTAATGTTAGTGGGGAATGATCTCATATTGTCTTCTGAAAAAGTCCATGACGGAGGGATGAGCGGGGCTGGAGGGATGAGCGGGGCTGGAGGGATGAGCTGGGCTGGAGGGCTAAGCAGGACTGGAGGGATGAGCTGGGCTGGAGGGATGAGCTGGGCTGGAGGGATGAGCTGGGGACTGGAGGGATGAGTGGGGCTGGAGGGATGAGCTGGGCTGGAGGGATAAGCTGGGGACTGGAGGGATAAGCGGGGCTGGAGGGATGAGCTGGGCTGGAGGGATAAGCGGGGCTGGAGGGATAAGCGGGGCTGGAGGGATAAGCGGGGCTGGAGGGATGAGCTGGAACTGGAGGGATGAGCGGGGCTGGAGGGATGAGCTGGACTGGAGGGATGAGCTGGGACTGGAGGGATGAGCGGGGCTGGAGGGATGAGCTGGGCTGGAGGATGAGGCTGCTGCAGCACTGATTCTTCCAGCTTTCTCCTTTTCGTCTTGTAGATGCTAAGGGAGTCCATCCAAAGCCAGCACCATCACCCAGATGACTTAAAGAAAGTTCTTTCTGACTGTGACTGTCTTCCGCTTTGATTTGGGGTTTACTTTGTTCTTTTGTTATAATCTTTGGTGGAGATTTGAAAGTAACTCTTTAAAATATGGTTCCTAATCTGAGACTTTTTCTGGATTAGAATATTTCTTATTGAATTCTTATTCTTATTTATTTAGTATTCATGTAGTAGTTAGCAGTCAGTACTTTCCTGCTTCCAGGAGAATCTTTTATTCCACCTATGCTTGATCTAACTAGTGACCTGTTTCTTAATTACAACCCTGTTGTTTATTTCTCTGCAGAGTGAAAGTTTTCACTTCAACTTTGTATTTTCCTAGTAGGACAGGAAGTTGAACTTCAGACCTTTAGTGAAATTGTTTCATCATATAGCTCTAACCTATATTAACCCGGGAATAGTTTCTTTGATTTTACTTCATAGTATATTTTTTAACAATTTCTGTTCTGATTAATGAATTGAAGTAGTTAGTTTTGTTCTAAAATCCCCCAAACTATGAATGTGCAGAGTTTTATGGAATATTTGTTTCTTCATATCCCTTTAAACACCTATTTCAGTGTTTGTAAATTATGTGAATTTTGTTCCCGAGATTAAGTATTGATACAATAGATACATGAGTCATTGTGTTCAACTATCCTAAGTCTGGTGCTGTATCTACAGATGAAAATCACGCGGAACAGTGTTACAGTTTGTTTAAACAAAAACTAATTTGAAATAGCTCTTGTTTCATGCTAATTAAACGTAGGTAAATGTCACCACTGACACTTTGAGATATCTGATTTATAAGAAAATTTTGCTAAAATGTCCACATTCTTAGAAATACATTGCCCGTTGGTGAATGATGCTTTTAAGTAAGGATGTTTATGTTATAGCAATAATGAATGACTGTACCCCTTTCTTCTCTTAGCTTTTGGATCTTTTTGTTAGGTTATTTTGTTTGTATGTTTGTTTAGTGGGTAATTTTGGACTTGCGGTGACTTTTGTTTAGAGGGTTGTAATATTTGAAGATGACAAGGGTGAGAGAAATTAGAGTTAATTGCTAGCCTCCTAGATTTGCAATACAAAATACTTCTCATTACCCCTTTTTAAGCAATATAAACTACTGATTGGGTGAAGCAGCCCTTGTTAAGAAAAATAGCATCAAACTTTGATAAACTTTAAATTTGAAACGTTACTGCTTTCTCAAATTTTGTAGCTATACATTGGGTCTAAAGTTGGTCTTAATAACTCAAGGTTCAACTTCTGGACTCAATTCACAGACACCTGCAATTCATGTGAGTACTGGGCTTATACCATACTGGCAGAACAAACACTTACCATTTGGCCCTTTCAATTTTCAAATCATTTTTATTTTATTCAGTTTAATGCTAAAACTGATTTTCTTGGAATGTTACTCTGTGTTCCTTGGGAAATGTATATTATTTTTCGTATATGACCCTGAGATATATTTTCTAAAACCTCTTGTTATGGGAGATACATTTCAGTGTTCCCCCCGCCCCGTCTCTAATTTATATGAATTGATGGTAAAACAAATCTCCAACATGTGTTCAAGCCTCTGATTTATGAACTCAGTGCGTAATCTTCTCAGGTGAATAAATTTCATATAACATCTTCACTATATAACCCCTAAGTGCTTTGTAAAATTTGTGGGCACTTAGTGTTTTGGAGGTGAGTTGTAGGATAATTTCATGTTTATGAATCACTTAAATGTCACCTACCAATTTCAAACTCTGCTGATTTCCAAGTCAATTTTTGGTTGGTTGTGAGGTGACAAAAGGATAAGTATTTTAGTACTGAGAACTAGCATTGTGTCTCCTTTAATTAAATAATTGTTTTTGTTTCT